AAAATATATTTGTCTTTAACTTTTATAGGCAAACTGTTTAATAAATAACTGTTAAAAAAACTGTTTAATTATTAAAATAAACTAGATGATTAATAGGTATACTTTCAAAAAACATGTCAGTCGTCGAATTACGAATCACGAAAATAAATGATCGCGCCATTACATTATAAATATAAAATGATAATCAAGACTCACGAACATGGATCTATGTTCACAAACAACCACACGATCAAAGATAACATTTACGTACTACGAAATATTAATAGTTCTGAATTTTTCCCGGAATACGATGATAGCTGTAAAACTATCGATAACATTATATTACCTGTAGCACAGAATAAATTATTACAGTGACAAATATTAATTATATTGTTATTTTGCCATATCAAAAATTGATCGGATACTCGACGTCGACCGTCGTTATCGCGGTATAAATAAGTCGGCGGTACTTGCGTATATTTATCATGGCATTTCAACGTCAAATGTTATTATATTTTACCGCCCCTAAAAATTTGCCGCCCAGGGCAAAAGACCCCCCCCTAGCTGTGGCTCTGCACAGTACTACTGACCAATTCGGTTCATCTCAACACTAGATGTCTCTACAGAATTGTTACTACTACAAGAAGTCAGTGGCGTATTTACGGGGGGGGGTTATGGGGGATAGATCCCCCCCTTGACCTTTTTTTTTTCCTAGGTAGCTATAAGTTGTCTCATTTTCTCTAATATTTTTAATATGATATTACTTTCAAGCATGTATGTTTTCTGTTTTCTAAATGTTCTAGTCGTGGTAATTGTACCGCTCTGATAGTCTAATATACTAATCGCCACTAATCGTTTATCGTTGGCGGCATGTACGACTATCAGGCAACAAAAACTATACCTATATTATGGTGTACTGTATTTTGTACGTTTCTGCGAATTATTTTTCATACAAGAGTGTTTATAATAAACCCGATAAGCAATCGGTAAACAAAACAAAATGACCATGAAGACCGTGGATTAACCATAGGGCGGCCGGACGGGTTTATTTTTAGAAAATTTGTTACTAGTAGATTTATGGCTAATGTATAGCTATATATATATATTTTTTATCGTATGATATCGTGATTCGTTAAAAGTAGATATGTACGGTCGTTGGACGTTGACGGATAGCGACGCCGCGCCATTCCGAGTACTGACTTACTGCCGAATTGACTATTGTTCGAATTTATTTTTTGCGTCTTGTAAGTTGTAACTGTGAAGTTTTAAGACAATATGAGTAATACTCAAAAACAAAAAAAAAACTTTATTTTCTTATTTTAGTACAAATAAAAAAATTTGTTTGAAAAATGATGACGTAATTATAAAGATTAATTCTTATTTTGCCTTGATCCACACTAACTTCAATAGGTAACAAGTTAGGGGATTTTAAAAATGTATATTATGTACGAATTTATGGGTGTTAGGATGTATTATTATATATTTCATCCCCCCCCCTAGCAAAATTCCTAAATACGCCACTGCAAGAAGTAGATTTATTTTCAAAAAAATCAGTCTGTTTGATTTAAAATATTTCGCAAATTATCACTTTTTAGTTTGACATTTTTTTTATATTGGTCACCACTTAACCATTTTCTACGAATTTTCACAAAAAAAAATATAAATAAATAAGAAGAATAGAGAATATAATCAATAAATAACAATAAGTTAGTAAATAAAACGAAAACAGTTTACATATACTCAGTGGCGTAGTTACGGGGAGGGTATAAGGGGTTTCCATCTCTCCCACAGTTTTTTTTTAATGATATTTGATTATGATTTTTTAATATTTTCATATTATAGTAAGATTTTTGATTTTTCTATGATTAGGTATATATTAAAAATTGTGTAACAAAATAATTTTTATTTAATATGGGACATAATAATAATATAATTTTAAATGTAATATTATTACATATGATCTCGTTTTAAGATATACTAAGAACACTTTAAAACTTACTTTTAAACACCCTCCCCCCACCAAAAAAAAATATATTGTATCTACACCACTGTTTATACTCCATTTCAAACGAGAATAAATTACTTTCGCGCATATCGACTGTCAGTTGCCCATTATCCCAAGGCCTATTTATCCCATTCTTTCAAACGAGGCATCGATCGTGCACGGCGTTCGCTGATCAAAACCGTCCGACACAGGCGCATAGCCTGTGGTGGTATTACAGGTGTAGTAACATCCATGCATCATAATCAGTGATTTACTCTTATTTATCAAAATGATTAAAATCATTAAAATATGCATTTACATGCATAAAAAAAATTACCACATAGTACCCAAAATAAAACGTGTCCATTGGATGTAAACGTATCATTGAACTCCAAATTAAACTTTGTAGTCGGCTACCGTAGATAGTTGTACTTTCGGCATTACACAATAATAAATATTTCCTACTATTCATCGACTTTTAAAAATATTGATTACTTTACCAGTTATCACTGCAAGCAGTGAAAGATATTTTTCCTCTTTACGGCGCTTAAAAAACATATTTGAGGAACATAACTGGTGAAAATCGGTTAAACGGCTTAGCATTTATGAATATTTATCGGGATTTAGTTGTAACCACCGACGAAATAATTGATACTCTAGCTTTAAAAAGTAGACGCATTAAATTAATTTAATTAAATATATATATATATTTTTTGTAATAATTATAATAATATATATGTGAAAATTTTATATATACGTAAAGTAATCAATTTCGTGTGTATAATTTTGTAAATTAATTTTGAATAATACCCTCCCCTCCTTAGAATTTTCTAGCTACGCGCCTGGTTCAACAAGTATACACGTATTTAATTTGTTCACAAATAATTTGTGATACCTGACGGGCGCGAACATAGATAAAAGAAGATTTCTTCTATTATCTATGCATAGCAACGTGAACTGAACTGAATAACAGAATAATTTTTTTATTGCTAGATATTTTATTTGTTAGAATCATCGATAACAATTTCATTCATAAACATTCCCGAATCTTTTATATATAGATGGCGATAAGGAATTATGAAAATAGCTAGTTTGATAACTGTTGGTGGGGTATGCTATTATTTACTATTTTTTCATATAGGAGTACATGTACATGTAACATATTTTACATTATCAGAAAACCTATAAACGTATATAGATATAACATGTAATACTATTGATTTTATAGTAAATATCCCAACAGCCATAAATAATATCTATGATAATTATGATGAGTGTCATACGAAATATCCTAATCGGAAACCCAACAAAAAACAACTAAGGGGAAGACCTCGCCAGCGGTAGTTAAATAGAGTTAAGAAAGATATTTCAGATACCGACGAGACAAAGCGATTGGAGGATGCAATGGACCGGAATGTATGGAGAATTTTGGTTGAAGCGTGCAAAAGACCTTAATGATCTGCATGGGTGTATTTAGGGGGGTGATATGGGTGTTAGAACACCCCCCATCGACCTTATTTTATGGTATTTCACCAAATTGTAAACTTACTTTGATCATTTGAATAAACGTCGTATACAACTTATAGGTTTTACATATGCTGTCTTAATGTAATCATTTTCATTTATATAAATACATGGAATTTATTTATGTAATACGGGGGAGGGGCAGAAGTTCTACTTACTATAAGTCTATTAAATTTTAAAACACCCCCGTTAAATGAATCCAGGATATGCCACTGATGACCTGTATAGCCCAAAAAAAAAAAAAAAATTATTATTATGCACAACGAAAATCCGTATTTTTATGTATAAATAAGTTGCAATACTTAGATTTTACCCCTTCTGATATTTTTCCTATCAGTTATAACATTTTTAAAAATTTTATTCAGTGTATAAATTAATAACTAACAATACATTTTTTACGTTTCAGAACTTTATGACATTTAAAGACATGAATTAGAAATAGGTTGGAAAACGAATGACTGAGTAGCTTGGTGTTAAATAATATTAATTTATTTAATTTTAATTTTATTTATTTTATATAATAATATATAATAAATTAATTTAAATAAATAATATAGTTCAATTTTTTTTTGTAACTCTTTTGTCCCACTACAAGCGCTACCTACGCTTATTGAGGTCGAAAGAATCAAATATTAGTTGTAATATGTATTATTATATGTAAAAAAAAATAAAAATAAAAATAATCACTACAACAACATGATATAAATTATTGTTCTCTTTCTTTGTACCTTCATAGCAGAGAAGAAATAATTGATCAATTAATACAAATTACAAATAATAGTAAGAGACAAATACGCAGAAAAGAGTCCTTAGATAATACGTTGATGAACTATTATAGTGGGTAGGTATCGTTAAAGTATGAGAAGCGTCAGGAAAATCAAAACATCAATAGTAGTGTGGTCAACATCAACAGACGCTTCGTGCGCATATCATACCGTGAATACAAGGGGGGCTTTGAGGGGCTGAAGCCACCCTTTAAACATTAAATATTACGTCCATATCGGACGTAGATATTCAAAATATTTAAAAAATTAGAGTTGAGAAATTTTTTTCCCCTACTCCACTATACCGTAAACATCACCATAAACGTGCGCACGGGATAGTCAAGTCAGGGAAAGCACTTGTCTACTCTACGAACTTTCCCTCCTTCACCAAACCATTCAATATTATCACAATAATAAATAACCAAATTATGTTTGACCACTTCGAAACGTCTGTTAAACGGTAAATACGTGTCTAAGAATATTGGAAAAATATAATTATTTAGTTAAATTAAATTACCCCATCCAAATTTGTTGTTAATATTAAATGTTAATGTGTTATGTATGACCACCCTGCCAGTTACGTTAGCGTACGTTACGATCACCATCATGAACCGTTCCAAATCACGCGCGAGAGCGGCTGATTTTAATTTTTTTCGTATGCGCGGTGTTTATTTTTATTGTTTGTTTTTGTGCAACAATTTAATAATATTGACTGCAACGCACTCTAACAGCAACAGTGTTTTTCTTATCTACAATCGTCATCAGCATTGAGCATTGAACGTGTAGGTAACTAACTATATGTACACTTACCCAAAAGTACTGTTTTATTATTGTTCGTTTTCACCATTCAGAAGTTGTGCGTAATCGTTGTCGTTGTGTGCTGTGTTCTATTTTTTTTTCAAACCTATCCGTGAGTAATTGCAACACCCTGTGATGACCGAGTATTAGTTAATGCCGTTCTCTAAAACTTCGTAAAAGCCTCTGGTTTCGCGTACGAAAAAGAAGTTCTTAACAACGATGACTCACAAAAGTATTTATTGGAGTTTGTCTTTTGTTTGCCTAACTATTTCCACGGTGTTTTCTCGAGAAGGTATTACATTATAATCTATTATTGACTTTATTTAATTATATTATGCACAAGCCTTATACATTTTAATACCACTTGTAAATATTATTCTCAATATGCATTTTAATTCATTTCATCTATTTATCGACTGATAACTTTTACGTTTTCATGTTATGCAATAACTTTTAGTTGGTATCATGTTTTATAATTATTCAATATACACTTCAATCTTAGGTAGATGTCTAATCAATTTGCATGTTTTGGTCACCAGGTATTCTTACTGCGAAGATCCAAATCTTTGTATCTTCATACTATTACTATATTATCTATTATATTTAAATTTTTTATTAATTTGAATTGTTGAAAGATATGTAGGACTTATGTAGGTCAAGCATTAATTAAGTACTTTCATATCTTATCTTTGGTAATGAGTTATGGGGGTTTTTTTTTACTACTCTTATTTTATCTTTTTTCTTGTAACATCTTTGATTTATCATTGTTATTTGCATGGCAAAAGCGGCAATTTTTATCTTAAGACAGGGGTGAGTTTAATCTTCTAGTTGTTCCCTTTTGATTTTCTCAGCTAACTAATTTTCTTAAAATAGGTACATTTATAGAATTTGGAAATAATATTAAATTTTATAATTATTTATATTTATTTTGATAAAATTAGTATTTTTATTATATTTTATAACTTAATGATTTTAGACAATAGAAATACACAAGTTCTTATTCCCTAGTCTTGAATTATCAAATAATATCCAATTATTGATGATTAATTTTAAAATATATTAAATTAATTACTTTCATTAATATTTAACTAACCTTTAGATATTAAATACATTATTTTTAAGGTACTTCACTTCAAGTGAAAGATATATAAACCTATATAAAAATGTAGGGAAGGATTGGGAGGTTATTGGCCTAGGAGGTAATATAGCTTAGCGGCCCTAAATATACATTCGAGATAGCCTACTCATCTGTTATAATTTTGTAAATAATATTCATATTTTATTGTTATAATTTAAAGTAAGTGTACATTTCACCCATAAAACTGTTAAAAAAAAAAATATAAATACCATTATAAAATATAATTTCCTTTATATATCATATTAACATAATAATTTTTTTAATTTGTATTCTATTTAAAATTGAATGTATTTCTTTTAGATTTTTAACTTAGCATTTTTCTCATTAACAGTGAGCTTTGTTTCACATGTTCTAAAATATTATCAAATGATACTTCCTCCAATAATTTTTTCTCAATACTCATCATCAAAAAACACTTTTAACTTTTCCTGGCCAATTGATGAACATAATTTATTTTTATCATTTTTAACTTAATAAAATATCATTCATAGTTCATCTGTGTAAAAGACAATGTTAATAAATGTTCATAAGCTATAAATATATTGGTAAAAGCTACTAAATGCATGTTCAATTTGTACAATAAATTTATAATAACAAACCAAACAATAATAACATTTTGTATTTTTATAACTTTCAACTCCTGTAGAATTAAAAAAAAACTATATTAAATTATTGTTTCTTATGTCTTTAAAATACCATGCTTACCAGTTTCATTGTTAGAATTCCTACCAACAATATTTTCATCACCATTTAGACCATTTTTGTCAAAGTATGTTTTGCTGTCACTCCCAATCTCTAGTTCATTTTGATAACTAAATCTTTGAATATTTTGGAAAAGCAAAAAGTTCTTTAACTAATTTATTGTGGTCAATACTTGCTAATTCTGCTAACTTTTGATAGTATGAAATCTTTAAAACAACTAGGGTGCAAGAACTGTGTTTCAGCAATTAATTCTTTATTATCAAAAAACCTTTCATTCAAGCTCATATTTAATTGATCAATAATATTCTGAAATGTTTGAGCTCTATACCGGTCAAGACCTGTTGAAAAGGTGAAATCTTGGATATTTTCGTCAAAGTATGTCTTCTTTCTTTTTATATAATGTTCCGGAATAACCTGCAACTATGTAATTTGGTATATTTAAGTTCGAAAGTTGTCATTCATATTTGTAGTAAACTGTTCTGCATTTTTGTTTTTTATATCCAACTATATTTATTCATGGTATTTATATAATTTTTGGTTCTTTCAACCATTTTATATGCTGATACAAAATCAAGATTTTTTTGTTTCTAAGTAGTCAAATGTAGGTCTGATAAAATAAAATATATCTTAGAAAATATGAGCTGTTAATAGGTATAGTTTTAAATTCAACTAAATTTTTTTATTAAAGAATTTGCCTCGGAGGATGTAATATTATTAAATGAGTCATCCACTGTAATATGTTGTAATGCACTTATAATAGTTAAAAATAAACAATTGTTACCTTTGAAAACCCATTCTAAAGCTTTATATCTTGCCCATGTACGTATTTTAGGTGAGGGTGAAGGGACAATCGCTAACCCCATGAATCCATATTTAAGGAATTAATTATAAGTAAGATACACATTTCAAATTTTTTTAATGTGGATCATTTTATAACAAAATAAAATAACATGTTGCTGTGAATACTGAATTGGGCTTTTTGTCGGATCCATATTTAGTAAAAAAATAAAATAAAATATAAGTGTAACTTTCAAAACACAAACAGGTGTTAAAAAAGAACTACACAAAAGTCGATTCTGCATTAGATTAAAAAAAAAAAAAATTTAAGGATTCACCTGATTTAAATATTGCCAAAAATTTTACTTGTAAATTTTGAGCCTGTCTTAAAGAAAACATTTGAGTCCTTACCCCTAGAAGTAAGTCTAAATACGCCCCTGGTCTAGCCTACCATTTAGTGTTTGTTTCAGCTATTTTTTGCAATTTTCTGAGTTTATGTGGACTAATATTAGTATTATTATAACTAGGGCTCGGAAGTTGATGACCTTAAAAACATTAAAAAATTACATAAAACAGACACAAATATGACATAAAAATAACAAAAAAATTTCCTTAAAAAATAACCCAAAACATTTACAAATATTTGCTTTAAATTAATAAAAATATATTTTTTAAATATTTTACTCTATTTTACTGTAACATTCAATATATATTTTTCAAATCTTACAAATTACTTAAAACATGAAATTAAAAAATTTCAAATACTTGCTTTATAAATTTATGAAAGCTTACAAATTACTCAAAAATAAATATAATTGCATTATACAATTATAGCGTATTTGATGATATAAAAAGTAAATGAACTACGATTATCTGTTTATAAATATTTACATTTGGAAAAATTTCTTTCCGCGTTCACTCAAGTGATCGGGAGCTACAGACGAGCACTAACCGACGTTTTAATTTTCGTCATTTCGAAAATATTACGAAAAAAATTATAAAATTTAGTTATACTAGGTATTATTCACTATAACATAATAACAACACGACGACTTTAATCCAAGAAATAAAATCAGATATTAATCGACTATTAGTAAAAAATAATAAAATGTAGTAATAATAATATTCACCAAAATACGACAATCACGAATGTAATCGGAGAGATAAATTCGGACAAGTCTTAAGTTATCGTCTAATATGTATATCGCATAATGATCGACAAGTAACAATAAGAAGTGAACTAGTGTGAAATCAGTAAAAATTACTACAAAAATAATAAGCTACAAAAAATGCATAATAAAAATTAGTTATTCGGATTTTCATGCTTATTACACAAATTTGTGGTCAGGAGAGCATTGACTAAAAAGGTCCAAAAAAATACAAAATGCATCAACTTCCTAGCCCTAATTATAACTTTCGCGGGTCCAAATATTCATCTGTTTGTAAGAACTACCCAAAAAAGTAGCTAAACAATTTAAAAGCCCAAAATTTTTTTAAATAGTACATATTTTCACAAATATTTGTTATACATACATTTAAATTGTGTTTAAAACACCAAATATATACAGAATTTTTATTCTGAGATTTAATAAACGATTGTTATCTATTAAATAACTTTCGCCGTCAAATGATTCACCTATTAAGTATTTACATTTTAGTCCATGTTCTAAAAAACAACATTTTAGTAAATTGTATAAATCTTTTCCATTTGAACTTCTAAACTAACTTGAATAATGGCAAAAGCTTTTCTTTTAAAAGTAAAGTAAATTTTGATATCTAATAAACTTACCTATATCAAAAACTTGTTTTAGCAGATAAATATTATTTTATACATCTTTTTTTCTTGCAATGACAAGATTTCGATTAATTGAATATTCAATTGACATGTCATTTGATGCTCAAAAATAGTTTTCAACTGCATTAGAGTGAATACGAGAATTTTCATGCCGTTCAATAGGTGAGTAAACATGTTTAAAATTGGTATAGCCTTCATCTAAAGAAAAATTACTAGTTGCTGTGTTAATTTCAAATGCAATACAAATAGAACAAAACATTGCATCTAAAGCCGCGTTCACGCTTAACAAACATTTTACAAACGTTCGTCAAACATCCAAAATATCCAACAAACATGTTGAATGTTTTGTTGGTATAGACGTGTTCCCAAACAATATTGTTTGTCAATGTCCCAAACAAAATTTTTTGTTAATTATTCGAACATTATGGCATACATTTTGTGAGAAACCAAAATGATTTCATACAAATAATTGTTTATTTACTATTTATTATTTGTAATATACACTTGGGAGTGGAGTTGATATTTTAAATCCGGTGAAAACCATTTGTGCCCATCATACCTTTTTTATAACCCATTTGCGACCGAAATATTTTTAATAAAAATGTGTTAAACCCATAAAACGTTGCCAAATTGTATTCTAGAATACAAGCCATACTATTTATTAACATTATAAAGTTAAAACTATTGTACATAGCGATGGGCATAATCGAGTGAAAATAATCGAGTTACTCATTATTGTCATATTGATTAATTTTTTTAAACCCAAAATGTTGAAAAAATAATAAAATTTAAACTATATTATTTAGACAATTATTATTAAAGTACAATAATAGTATATCATACTAATCTACTTAAGTATTTAATAAATACTATCTTTATT